ACATGCTTGAGAATTTCACCGAGAGCCTGCGTACACAGGTATGTTTTTGATATATTTCAGCCTGCCTCTGCCTTACAGACTCTCAATCTTCATTTCCACTCATCCACCTAAAATCCCACCTGCTGTATGAAACTATCATGCTTTCGGAGCAGTGAAGTTGTCTTGTGGGAAACAGAAGTTCCCCTGCCTTCTATGCTGATGAAAAGGAAACGAGAAAAAACCATCAGCTATATACATAGCTCCTTATCATTTTTGCCAAAAATCTTATGTTCACTTTTCCAGCAAGAAGCAAGATACAGTTGTTAAAACCAGTGAGACGTAAAGTGTCACAAGACTCACAGATTTCTTGAATAAAAAAGATATAAAGTCATTGCTTTTTTAATTGGGACATTTTGGGGTTATCTAAAAAAATCAGTTTAGTTTGTCCTCAATACAGAAGTGGGCATTTAAAAGAAATTTTGCTTAGCATAGTCCTAAATCTTTAACTGCTACAGGTTTTTTAATGAACTTCCAAATGCAGGGTAAATTGCTTTTGGTTTGTCCACAAAGTGAAAGAAAAAAAAATACTAAACATACCTAAAAATCGCAGATTCATGTTGTAATCTGATCCACAGACACTGTTACACTGCCTGAGTCCCCACTGGCTTCTGCACAATATAGCCTAAGATCTGCCTTACAGAGTTAAACTGAAAATCTGGGAATCTGTAATTCTCTTAAGGTCAAGAGAAAACCAGGCCCATTAAGGGCTTGGTGTCTTAGAAATTTTGCTTTCCTTAAAAACAAAACAAACAAAATTAGAAAGGAAACACAGATTTTCACACCCATCACTGAGTGCAATCACAGCATTTTCTACTGAAACTGCTGAACGTACTGTCTGCAGATTAACAGTAAATGTTGTCCAAGAAAAGGCCACACTGATCAATTTCCTTTTGAAGAAAAAGCACTAAGTACTTCCACAATAATACAAAAAGTACAATTACAAACAATTTCTCCATAGGAGGGAGAGGTGATGTTTGACTTAGTGTTGTTTAAAATATTAAATACTTAGATTACCTTTCCCCATGCAAAGCACGTAACTCACCAAACACACAATTACCCTCATTTTCAGGCATTTCTCTCATTACTGACTTTCTAGGAAGACTGCTTCAGGTTCCTTCCTTCTTCCTTCCCGGCCACTCCACCACCACCAAAGGAGATCACAAAAAGTTCTCCGTCCTGCCCTTCCCTCTTCCTTTAGCTTTTGACATTGGGAGAACAATCCAACTACTTTTGAACTAAAACACTGTCAGAAATTCTAGAAAATAATTTTCAGGTTAAGGTACAAAAATTTTAATCGCCTTTCTTTTTAAATCGATACTTCACAAACTGTAAACACAGACCTTTGTTCTCACATTCAGCACAAAAAGATGAGACATCAATCTGATGTGACTGCGCTACGCACGTGCTGTCTAATCACCCCTCATCTTACAAGCACCTTTACAAACAAGATTTCCCTCATTGCTAAGCACCATATTTCTCCCCTGGGAAAAGTAATTTGAAAGACAATGTTGCACAGCACAGACTTACAGAATGTAGGTGGTCCAAGACAGAAGGTCAAAGTCAAGCTGAAGAGCTCATGTCAGACTTCTGCTAAAGATATTAATGCAGCTGTTTTCGGATTTTGAACCTTTAGCATACTTTTAAGTACAGCAGCAGATTCCACTCTTGCTGAAAAACTCACATAGACAATAAATTCACTGTAACATGTACAGTCTTCCAAGCATTATTTTCCAGTCCTTCATTGTAAAATGAACTACTACTGATTTCTACTGCGTAAGATTTTCTGTGCCTGTTTGCATAACTAGTAATGATGTACAACCATTCAAAATACACATAGGTAGTGTCTGTGCTTCACGGGCTCTTTTGCCCTGGAGTACAAAACTGTAACTGTAGATTATTTCATGGTTACTTTCAATAGCTGTAACAATCAATGTTTTTAAGAACAGCTTTTATAATCAGTCTTCTGCTAGCATCCTATTGAGGTACTACTTTTTTATTTTCTCTCTTCTTTTTTTCTTTAAGTGAAGTACGAAAGCAGAAAAGCACAGAATAAACAGAATTAAAATAACTCAAAACTGATGTTTAGTTTCAAGTACAGTGCTTAAGACTTACTGGATTTACAGCTAAACATATCACTACACTGAAAGAAATCAATTAAGTATGGTTTAAAATAACATATCTCAAAGTTTTCATCACTAAACGAGGTCAGTGCTTTTCTAGTCAACCCATTTAATTTGCTTAAGTCCAGCTTCACTGTTAGGAGTAGCATACTAAAGAATGGACTGTATCAGTGGATACATTTTCTTTTAAATAGGACGTCAGGAAAACAATTGGAGGATTACATATTTTAACATCTTAGTTGTCTGTTTTTGCCTCAAATGCTCTCAACACCTAGCAAAATAACTCTGATCATATTTGCAAGAAATCCTACAACTCAAAAAAAAAAAAAAATAGTACCTGAATACTAGAGATTCAAAAATACTTACTGAACAGTACCTTTTGTACTGAAGATGAAAATGTTTCTCCACGCAATACCCACTACTCTAAAGGCAAGGTGTTGAAAATTTTACTTTAAAGTCTTATTTGTAATTTTTTTAAAGGTCATTACTTAGAACTTTAGGAGTTTTTCAAATTAATTCTAAAAATGTCCATTGACTTAGACTAGACATTAACTATTCAACACTAATATCCAATAAAGCAATTACAGCATTAAGAAAACCACCCAACTATCAATTTGTAAAAATATTGCAATTTATTGAAAGAAGGCCATGAAAACGTACGACAACTTTACATTTTGTTTAAAATAAACAGCACAAGTTTGATTAGTAACATGCTTTTAATTAAATAGTTTCACCTCTGACATACACTAAAAAAAGTTTTCCATACAGGAAAAAACCCTTACTATTACAATGTAAATTAATGATATTTTCACTGAGATAAGTCATACCAGTATAATGAAAATCATTGCATCCTGTTTTAAATGACATTTAAGACAACAGAAATCCCATTTAAGTAAAAACATTGTTGTCCAAGGGTGGGCATAAATCACAAAAACTGTAAACTAAGCTATCCATGGGAAAGAAATCAGCAGTAGAACATGCCTTTTGCTCCTTCTTGCTGGGTGAGTGTAAGCTGTGATATAGAAATAGGGAATAAAAAATTACAGAACTTTTCTTCTTCAGGTGAGCAAAAGGTAAAGCAAGAAAACAGACCTGTTTTCATAAACCACAAGTTTGTTTATTTGCAGTTTACATTAAAAAACCAAACTAATAGAAGTCCTTTAATTGTTTTCACAACTTTACCAAAAGCAAAAACAAAACAAAGTTTACAGTAATGAAATGCACACAAAACACTACGGGACAATAGAGGCTGTTTACTTATTTTAAGAACAACCAGAAAGCATAGAAAGTTGAAGTGAGATTACGATTTCAAACCAAACTTAAGAATGAATATTTGAAGTTTAGATTTATTCTGATGTTCTATCAGAGGTAAGATGGCTTAATACTTCACTGGTTTCCAATTAAAAGCTTTCTAGGGTAGGAATGTTAATCCACAATGATAAAGCAAACTGCAGGAAACAGAAAACACAGAGGGACAAAAAAACAAGAAGGAAAAGCTGACAGTGTAGAAGGAATGCTATTTTGAAAACCAGTGAAACTGTATAGAATGGGAAGCTCCATTTTTGAAATAGGATCATCCCCATTTTCAGATATCTACTCCCCTTTATAAGAGATCCTTTTTAGGTTCCTAATAAAGACACTGAAGTGTCAAGGAAGAAAGATGTTTGGTTACTCAGCTCATGAGCCTCCTGGACTCCAATGCAGTCCAAGTGAGGGAGAAACATAGAACTGGGTAGAGAGCAGAAAAAAAAAAAAAATATTGTCACAGAGGAAGTGTAACACTCCAGTTAGATATCAATGAAAACAATTCTCTCTCAATCGCCCTGGGCAACCTGGTCTAGTTGGGGGTGTCCCTGCTGACTGCGGGGGGGTCGGACTAGATGACCCTTGGAGGTCCCTTCCGGCCTGGGAAATTCTATGATTCTATGATTATATGTTTTTTTGTTACACATTCCTTACTACGGTGCTCTCTCGCTGTACTTGCCGAAATACACACTTATTTTGGGGAACTTATTTCTGAAAATTTACAGTACCACTGAATACTAAGTCTAGAAAAATCAGACCTGCAAGTAAACAGCTCTTCAGAGCTCAGACCTCACCTCTCCCCGCCTTATTTCCTCTACTCCCCCTCCTCCCCCCCAACACACACGGCGTGCCCACACACAAACGCTTCTTTGAGCTGAAGGATTCAAGACACTCGTAGGTACACCTCGTTTCACCGTATAACCGAGCGGGCCGGGGAGCTGTCAGTACCGGGAAACAAAAGCCAAAGCCCCTGAAATCGCTGCCTTGCAGGGCCAGCCTCACCAGCCCTCAGAAGGGCTGCCTCTGGCAGGCACCGGGCCGCCCAGCGAACACCCCCCGGGCCAGCAGCGCCCCGTGAGCCCCCCGGGGGTAAGGGTCTCACGGGCGAGACCGGGGAGAGGAGCCCCGGCTCCTCTCACGGGGCCGAGGGAGGAAACTGACGAGGGAAGGAGGAAACTGACGAGCGGGGGAGGAAACTGACGAGGGTCGGGCGGCGACAGGCGCTCCGCTGCCGGGACGGGTCACCGCCCGCCCACCGCTCCCTCGGCGGGACCAGCAGGTGCCTTCATGGGGGTGCTGAGGAGTCGCCGCCACCGCAGCCGTTAACGGCAATTCCGTCCCCGTCCCCCCGCTCTCCCCCCGGGGCTGAGGCGGGGCCTAGGACGCGACACTCGATCCCGCCCGGCGGGAGAGAGCCTCAACACCCACCCCACCCCCCGGGGAGCGGGGAAGGAAGAAGGGGGGAGGCCGAGGGCAAGGAGCCGGAGGTGCCCGGCGGAGGAAGAGCGGGGCGGGAGGCCAGAGACTGTCACTCACCGGCCGTCGCCGCCGTGTTCGTATCCGGCACCTGGGGCAGCTCCGGCTCCCGGCAGCGCCACCACGTCCGGCAGCGGGCGCAGGCACCTCTAGCCGCTGACCGAGATAAATCGATGGAGCGCGGAGCGATCGAGCCGTGGCGGGGCGGGAAGCCGCTACGAGCCACCGCCGTGCCCCTAGTCCCGCCCCCTCAGCGTCATCGCCCTCGCGCGCCCCGCCTCCATCTTGTCTCTGAGGGGACAGTGGTTGGGGTACGGAGAGGGGCCGCGGGGGTTAGTTTCCCCCCATAGAAGAGAAGCCAGGGGAGGATAAAATCCTAACAAACGGCGTGATAAGGACAACGGCAACGGCAATATTAAATAATGGGAATGAAACCGGCCCCGAGTGCGGTGTGGGGGTCCCAGCAGGCAGCATTGGGCCCCCCCCCGTGCTGTAGTGTGAGGAGAGCGCTCAGCAATGTAAAAACGTCCTTATTTTCCAATGAGAAAGTAAAAACTTTTCATACCAAGCCTGCTGTCTGCCTCGCGGGGGGAACACCTCTGGACACTGGCACTTCTTCCTCTTGCGAAGGCTGAGGAGACCTCCCTTCCTTTTTTTTTTCTTTTTGGATTGTTCAAAATTCAGTTGTGAACCACGCCAAGGTCAGACAAAATCTTAATGGTGAGGAGAGGAAAAGCAACTGGAGAGAAAATGCAGAAGGAAGGATCTGTTGCTCAGTTTTGCCAAACCAGACCTAAACTAGGACTTTAGTGGGAAAACAAATTGCCTTTCATAAAACCTCAAAGAATTTAAGCACCGTAAAAAGCATTTTGGCCAAGAAATTTTCCTCACTTTTTCCCAGAGGTTAAAGCCGCCCAAGTTAAATTAGCAGGCTCTAATATCTTTTCATGTGCATAAACAGGACTCTTCTGACTCTTTCCTCTAAGCTCTATAAAATGTGGCACAGCATCTCTGTGGGGAAAAATGAGAGTGTTCGGTATCAGTTTTTTTCTCTAATTATCTCCAAAGTTGTTACTAGCGACTCTGCAATTTTCTGCTAATACCTGATGCAGAAAGAGAGCTCTTCAGTCCTCTAAGAAAAGGAAAACTGGCATCACATTAAAAAAAAAAAAAAGTGTAACAGTTTGCCACCCATTTCAAAATTATGTTTTTCCTCTATGACAGTTTGTTTGCATTTTCTCATTAAACGCCTGTCATCAGATGTGCCAAATAAAACCCCTATTTGGAAGGTGTGGTTGATACAGAAGGTTTCACCAGCACACTACATACCCAAGTCCTAGCCTTGCCCAACGCTCTCTGGGAGCAGGTACCTGTGCCCCAAAGCCCCCTTGACTTTGGTGGGGGTCTGTAAAGGGAGCTGTCTCCCCAGAAGACTTTGTAATAAAAAACGGCATTTCGATTTAGTTCAAGTGACAAACTGCAGTGCCAGACTGAAGTTTTGTTACGGAGTTGGCTTTATCTTCACCTCTGTTGTAATTGCAAATACCCTAAAGAGGTGAATCATTCAGAAGAGGGAAGCTGAACTGGAGAAGAGAAAACCTCCCCAATGTTAGCTGAATTGAGAAAAAGCTTCAAGGCCTTTTGCTTCTGAAAATGTCATCTAGCCCCTCTGCTCAGAGGTTTTAACCTGTTGTTTCTAAATAGCTGCTTGGCAGCGTTTTTATCCAGACCTTGGTCCTGGGGAACGTGTCAGAACAGCACAATCTGTTCTAGTTCTAAACTCTGCAACTATAGAAGCCTTATAAATGGTGTATGTAGGTTCATCAAGGCATCCACACAGGCAAATCCTCCTGTGGCCAAGAGCAGCATCCAGGACTCCTCTGATCTGCAGGGGCCTTGGATAATATTGTTGATGAAGAACTTGCTGTGTGCTGCACTTTGTTGGATCTACTGTGGTTGGTTTTCCCAGCTGATGTAAGGTCACTGTGTGGTAACCATCACCTGCCCCTTCATCAGTGACTCCAGAACAAAGCTGATGGGGACTGACTGTAGATTTGACCCCCTGGAGAAAAGAAACACTGCTTCACACATCTCTTTAGAGCAAAAGGAGGAAAACTAGTGCTGTTATTTTATATATAGAGAGACAGAGCTTATAATGTAGATACCATAATATATTGTATTTATTTGTTGTCGTATATAATGCTGCTAATATAAATATATTACTCCACGGAACTCCAGATGCTGTTAAAAAGATTAATCAATGCTGTTAAAACTGAGGAAAGCAATGACAAGTTGTAATATAATGACCTGGTAAATAGTAAGCTCTTCGTAGAGGTCACAAGAGCAATTGCTCATTCATGCCTTTTCTAATCCATATATGCAGATTTGACAGTGATCTATAAACATTACATCTCTCTATAAAGCTGGGTAAACAGATTTGAAAGCCAAGAGAGATTATTATGATCATCTTGTCTAACCTGAATATTGAAAGCTGTAGAATTTCCTGCAGCCATTCCCACACAAAGTTCTTTCTGTAGTTGTTTCTTAGAAAGGCGTCTTCATTTTGTTTTAATGAGTTGGAGAAATGTTGAATCCATCACTACATTTTTGAAGATTTCTCCGTGGTTACGCTAACATGTACCATGCTATTCTAACATGTAAATAATATCCGGTAGAAATACAAGCGTTGTTAGAAGAGGTAAATTCATCTAGCTGCAGCAACTGTCAATTGAAAGCCTGTTTCTTGTTAACAGAAATATCTTCCTTTTGAAGATGTTTGTAAAATACAGCAGATTAACTCTATCACCTTCTCTTGATAAACTGTATGGATTAAACTTTGATTCTGGACTGTATAACTGCCTTTCCAGAACTGTTCACTCTTCTGAATGCCTTTAAGCTTACAGCTATCACCTTACTTTTTTGACATGTGGACAACCAAACCAGGCCTATTTCTGTTTGAGTTTGTGAGGTGAATGTTATAACCAGGGAAATGTAAGGAACAGAAAAGAGCTAAGAAGCATAAGGTTGGAAATGACCTTAAGAAATCAGCCTTTCTTGTTCTTTCCCTTGCCTCAAGACAGGATCAACTACTCCTTTGTTATAGCATAACTGTTTTTTCAATCTTGTTCTTAAAGTCTTCACAGTATGGTGCTTTTGCTATCTCCTCAGGCAATCTTTCCCAGTGTTTCCCTACCCTTATCACTAAAGGTCTTTTTTTTTCTAATGTGTACTCTGGATATATCCCCTACTGCAATTTCAGTCTGTTAGTGAAAAGACTGTCTTTGCTAGGTCCAGAGAATACTGTTTGCTTCCTCCCTGTTGCAGCCTTTTACATATTTAAAGTCCCTTGTATGTTCTTTTCCTTATTAATTCAAATGGTCCCATTAGTATCCTGATATTTAATGTCTTCTGGACTAGTAGTCGACCTTGATCTCTGCTGCTCTCTTCTCCAGTCACTCAATATCATTCTGGAAGTGCAGTGCCCCAAGCCAAGCATGCTCCAGGTGAAAAACATTTTTGAAAAGGAAAAACTAGAATCAAAATCCTACCGGGGTTTAGCAGAGTAAAATAATTGCTTTGCCTGTTTTGCAGCCTGTCTTCCTGTTCCTACCCCCTCGTATGGCATTTGCCTTTTTACAACAGCATACGAGAAGTGACTCGTGTTTAGCCTGTGATTCACTCTATATTCTTTCTATGCAACTGTAATCCTGTTTACTTTTCCCCTTCCTGTATCTGGGGAACTGATGATGCTGTGTCTAATAGACCACGCTTTTACCTATTGAATACTATCTTTGGTGTTTTTCTTAAAAAAAAATCCTTCAGTTTGACAAAATCCCTCTGAATTCTAATTCTGTTCTCTAACACGCTTTTAGCAGCTCTCTTCATGTTGACTCCAAATGTAACAAGCTTAGTCTTTATTCTGTTCTTCAGATGGTTTATAAGTAGTATCAGATAGAGCATAGACCCTCGAGGAACCTCTTTCAATAAACCTCTCCATTTTCATAGTTGCTGCATTTTGCTAACTCTTCCTCAACCCTGCTTTTTCTGATCCCATGAGATTTTCAATCTGGACCATATTGTCTTTGCTTACTCTTGAGAAACGTGGCCAAAAGCTTTACTAAAATGAAGATACATGGCTTTTTAATACTTCCCTCCTTAGAATAACACCTGTTACCTTATTGTAAAAGGAAATCAGATTGGTTTAACAGGATTTGTTCGTGACAAATCCATGTTCGTTGTTACTTGTCTGTCTGTCTTCTAACGCTTTTAGATGGTTTGCTTGATTTTTTCAACAAACTGAAGCTACCTGATCTATAACTCACCAACTCCTCCTTTTTTCTATGTGTACTTAACTGTAAGTCTGATTGATTGAAATTAAGAGGGCTGTTTCTATGCCCATGAGAGGTGCCTTCTAAACTGGAGATCAGTAATTTGCCAAAGCCATGGCAGTATAACCAGGAGCAGAGCCAAGAAGCCCAACCTGTCCTGGCCTGCTCTAACAAATCTATAATCCTTGCACAACCTTTCCTCATCTCCTTAGTTCCACTTCCCTTTATTTTTCCTGATGCATTGAGGGAACATTCTTGCAGATGTTGGCATCTAGCAGCTGCCTTAGATTTTTATGAGAAATTCATACGCATATTTCAGTTTCCAAGCAGATTTCCCATGTTGTATCATGCACCCAAGACCACCTGCTTTCTCCTAAATTGAAAGTCACCTGGATCTGTGTTATGAAACCAACATCCAGGAAGAGATCTATTTAAATCTTACAATTCCATTTCTTTTTTAAACAAACAGGTACATAAATAAGTTCTTTGTAGCTGGCAGCATTTTGACCGTTAACTGGGAGGCTAAGCCAGAGAGCTTCATTATGGAGTGAAATATATTTATCTTAGCTGAAAAGCGAAAGAGCAAGAAACAACTTACTGATCAGTGTTTTCCCCCAGATGATTTCTGGTATGCTTCAAGAGAAACAACATATAAATTAATGCACACAATATTTTGAGTTTTCTTCCAGAACAAGTACAGTCACTTTTTCCACATCAAACAAAAAATATAGTCTTTTGCACTTTAAACCATTTCCAACAGTACACAAAATTCTCTCACTGTTTTACTTTCTTGGCTGACACCACCCTAATTCTTCCCTTTCAAGGCCTATCCAAGGAATCTGTGCAC